AAGAGACAGAGGGAAGGCAGGGCAGGCAGCCTGGGTGCCCCCGGGGCTCATTGGAGGCGCCTGAGCGGCCGGAGGAGGAGTCCGGGGGCCAAACCCCCTCGCCGGGGGCAGGGGCAGAGCCAGGCCGGCACCTCCGAGCAGCCCAGCCCGCTGAGGGGCCATGGCCAGGCCTGGGGACAGCGGGACCACCGAGGTGATGCTCTGCCACCGTTGAGAGCTCTCGCGTGTCCTCTCCAAATGGGGGTGTCCCCGGCGACCATAAGCAGGGCGGCATCCCTGCTTCACCCAAGGCTGGTGGCAAAGGGGCAGCCCCACATCATCCAACACCCCCATCACACCTCGGCCCCTCTTCCACCCTGTCAGACGTGTGGGGCAGATGTGCCCCATCCTCTGCCACTCGGGTTGGGGGCTGGTAACCCACAGGGCCACGGCTCAGGGCAGCTGCCTTTCCCCAGACACGGAGGGGCACAGCCCCCAGCCCAAGAGAGGAGAGATTCGGCTCATGGCAGCTCAGAGGAATCCAATTTTGCTGCGGCCAGGAGCTGCCTCCCCTGCTGCTAATGAAGTGCCTTTAATTAGCAGCCTAATAGCAAGCTCTTAATTTGCCGAACAGCCAGTTGAAAGGATGGGGACCCCACTAAGCCACGGCTGGCAACAGCTCCAAGGGCTTAAAAGGGACAGGCCCCAACTGGCTGGCCCCACCTTGGGAGGGGTCCCGCGGGGACAGGGTCAGAGTAGCAGGGCTGGGAGAAGCCCTAGGCACAGGCACCTCTGGGCCGGCTGTGCCCAACCCCAGCCGGGCTGTGTCAGATGAGGGATCGCCCAGGCGCCACGTCCTCCCACACAGGGTGCTCCAGCTCCTGACTCTTCCCTCCACATGAGCCTCTAGCTCTCCCCGAAAGCACTGTGCCCTCTCCCCCAGCCACAGCCCCTACCTAGCTTGTCAGTGTTGAGCTTTTCCAGGGCAGGCACCTGCTCAAGACCTCCTACGCCTTGCTCAGACTCAGTTTCTCCCTGTCTCTACCAGGGCAACACCTTTACCTTTGTGCAGGTGTGCTGGGCAGCTGCAGAGGCCTCGGTGACAGGGCCACAGTGGGGAGGTGACCTGCAGGGAGCCACAGTCCTTCAGGGGATGGTCCTGGTTTGTTCCCAGAGCAGTAGGATGAGATCCATTTATTGGATACGCTCATGAGTGAGATGACCCAGCCGGAGGAGGACATAGAGCCTGGGGGTACCAGCCATGCCCAAAGCACTTGCAGTGCTGCGGGGCAGCCCTAAACATGCCCAGGACTCACCTCAAGCCCTGTGCAAAGGCAAAGGAGCAAACCCAGGACAGGACGATAAGCCAGGTCATGCTGTGTCCCACAACTATGCTCCCACTCTGGTCATCCAAGTACACAGTTAATCTCTGCAATCAGTGCCTGGAGGGTTAAATGTGCCCAGTCCAGTGGTCTCTGCCATGGGGAGAGGAGGAAACAGCAGCAGCCATCTATCCCCCATCCTGGTCCATCCCAGCACATACCCACCTAAAAACACTCCCAGAGCTTCCTAGACCCTCTGCACTGAAGCCCTTACCCAAGCCCAGTGCTCGGCCCTGTAGTCACAGACCCCCTCCCACCACACAGCCTGGTGTCAGGGACCAAGCAAGGACATCCTCAGGATGCTGCTCCAAGCCACAGGGGTGGCTGCTGCCTTGATTTAGGGGGTAAATCTGGGTTACTGCCACTGGTTCCCAGCAGCGGCTGGGATGCCGGGAGCAGAGGTTTAGCAGCAGATGTACAGGTGAGAAACACGTGTGGGGGAGGAGGAGGAAGAAGGAGAAGCAGGAAAGCCTGGGGTGCCAATTAAGGGTCACCAGGGAGCTGGGTTAATTGGAGACACTCCTGTGACCTGACCCGGTGATGGTGGCACATGGTAAGATGGAGACAAGTACCAGCAAGGAACGCCCGCTGCTCTGTGCTGTGAGGGAGCTCGTCTCTGCAATTTGCAGGCGCCCCCATTCCTCCCCTACCACGTGCAAGGACTCCCTGGTTAAGACTCCTCCCTTGACTGGGAAAGCGGCTGTGAGACCGCAAACCACCCTCGACCCCTCCCACTGTCACTCCCAGGAGGTCCTGTCCCACTCTTGCCTCACTGCTGCCCTGGTCTCCAGACACAGCACCGGGTCTGTCCCTGTCTCAGTGCTCCATGCTGTGGGATGCTCACACACCACCTCTCCTGAAGGCATCACACGGTGCCTGGGGCATGAGACGAAACCCAGGAGGACTAGGAGAGGCAGAGCAGCAAGAAGAGCCAGTCCCAGCACACATCCTGCACAGAGCAATGGCATTTGCCAAGGCCAGAAGGACGGAGATGCTGTTAGGAGATCCATGCTCTCCTGAGGCCTTTCCCTGAGCTGACGGCACAGTGCTGTGCAGGGTCCCACCAGAGCCCAGCTGATCACAGTGTGAGCAAGGAGCTTCATGTGGAGGGGAAGGACAGAGCCAGCCCCGCTCAGTGGCCGAGGACCCAGTGCTTTCTGCCTCCCTGTCCCGCCCCCCAGGGCCAGGCACTGGCAGCCACGAGCCAGGCACGCAGGACCCCACACCAGAGACGTAAAACACTCCCCCAAAAATGATATGAAGATTTCTGCAGGACTGGGTAACGCAGCAGCGGGGAAGACCCACTGGGAATGTACGTCCCCTTTCCCAAGATGAGATGAAAATCCACCTGAGAGGACATGGTCTTCAAGTGCTGCCTCTTGGTGTTTGCCCAGCACCATCTAGTCCAAACTAGAACAAAGTCCACAAGGAAACAATATGTGGCTCAAATAAACAGGCAAAAGGATGCATTGCTTTGCAGCAGCTGGAGAAGAAGGAACTCCACAGCACAGGCGCAGCAGGCAGAGCCACTCGCAGACATCTCCACAGCTTGAAAGGTCAGAGCAGTTTGCTGATGCTGCCTTTTCGGAGTTGACACTGCAGAAATGGAGACGGGTTGGCATCCTCCTTGTCTCACTGTCCCCTCAGAGGAGAGGCCTTCCTTGATCTACCTTTGTAAATGACAGCAGGGTGCTCTGGGCACCACACAGGGAGTTTTGGACACATCAGCTGTGTGATGTCAAGCAGGGGCTTGAGTTTTCTGCAAACTGCAGTCACCTCCAGAAGAAACTCAGCGGTGTTCCTAGTCAAAGCGCTGCTCAGGCTGCTGGTTTTGCCTTGTTGCACTGGGAAGCCCATCTGACTCCATTCTCCAGCTGCAAGAAGGCTATTTACCTGTATAAGTAAGGCCTTTTCAAGCCCAGATTTTCCTGATTATATTATTTATTCAATTTCAGTAGTTCCCCAGCAGACCAGTCTCACCACTCAGCAACCTTGGTGCTGGTTTGGAGATTTCTTAGCGGCTCCCACTAGCCAGGTGCATGTCAGCAAAGCACTTAAGAAACAAAGCTCAGAATGGGAAGATAACACTGGTGAGAAACAAAGAGTATGCCTTTGGGACATAATGAATGCATGTTCAAGCTCTTTTATGGCAAAGCAAAGTGGCTGGTACTCACACATAAGCAGTGCCAGAAGGGTATCGCATCTCTGTCCATCAGATGTTCTCAGCTGTTCCCACCAAGGAAGGATCGGCCAGCAAAGGACACAGGCCGAGACCTCAGTTGGTTTCAGCATGTTACGTTAGATTTGCATGGGATAGTTAGCACAAGCAGTATCTTATTTTACTCTGCTAGTCTTCTCCTCCAGCAGCATAGGTGCTTTTCTCCTGGGATTGTGTCCTGGGCAGTGTGTGCTTTGGCTGTGAACCAACTTGAGCACTTGGAAAATCCAAGAAATCTGCAGGTGCAGCTATACCATCAGAGTACCAGGCTCTCAAGCTCAGGGGTGGCATCTTACTTCTACAAAACACTGAATCATTTCCACACCCTCCCAGCCACTGACAGGTTTGCTGTTGCACAGGGGGAGCTCTGCTCCACATGGCCTTTGAACAAGGCCAGGACAACAAACAGGGGCAGAAGGCTGCCAGAGCCAGGCACAGCCCACACCCAGGTGGCTGCCAGGACAGCAGGACAGCTCACCCGAAGAAATCAATGGCAGCACTAGAGCATGTCTATCTGCTCAGGTTCTGCCGCCACACTGCCTACTTTGCCAAGAGCTCACCATCCTAACCCTCTTCAAACCAACAGAGCACCACCCAACCTCTGAATTAATCCTAAACACTTTTTGTAAGAATTACATTAATTAGACCCAGCAGGTCTAAACTGACCAATTTCCCCTTTCCAAAACCTAGCTTGCTATATACTCTTGTGAGCGTGTATATAATATAATAAAAAAAGCCCCAACAGAAGATTTGATTTTAAAGCCATAGGTTGATACAATGCTGTTAATTTGAAGCTATGGTAAACATTACTTTCCTCCTTCATTTGAAGTGGAAATAAGGCACACATTTTTAAACAGAAAGGGTAATTAACCACTGAATCTATTTAAGATAAGCTGTCTGGTGTTCATTCTTTTCCAGTGGAAATTTACAATTGAGATTGCTTTTCTTTCTCAAAGACTCTCTTTAGTACTTGAGTGTTTGGATGTGATGATAGAATTCCTGAGAGAAGTTTTCCAGCCCACACCCTGCAGCACAGCACTGTCCCAGTCCTAGAAATCTCAAACAAACTCTGATCCTCATCTTTAAACATCAAGAAGAAGGGGAAGGACTAGCTAAGGAACAGCTAAAAATAACCCACAAGTAGAATCTGTTTTATATATGACTGGGTAGTATGTGAGTTGTTTGGGTACACACAGAGGCCTGGAACTGAGTACAAAGGGTAAAGGGTCTAATTTGTGTGTGCTAGCAGCCAGAGGTTGTTTAAGTCAAGCTGCATCCTGTGCTACAGACTGATCCAAAACGATGGATGAAGCCTGTCACTGCAATTCCTCTTCCAAATCTATTATCTGATGGGAGGAAAGAGCAGGGAGGCAATAAAAAAAGGTTAAAGTGGTGTAAATACATATATATATATATATATATATATATACACACACACACATATATACATAAAAAACTCAAACCCTTGCCAAACAAAGCACAAGGCTGCTGGGAACGTTGTCCCAAGGAGAGACGGGGATTGGAAGTGACGGGAATCCTGCTCCCAGCGCTTCAGAGAAGCAGGAGCCTTCGCAATCTCCAGTCCCCCGCTGGCTCCCAAGAATGGAGCCAGCAGGGAGAGAGACGGCGGGAGCACAGGGTTTGTTTGTTTTCTGACCACCCCAGGAGTAAGGATCTTAAAACTGCGGTGGCCTTTGTTTTAAAAGGGGCTGTTAAGTAAAATGGAAAGATCCAAGGCTGCTATCTGAGGAGCGTTTTTAAGAGAAAGGTATTCTGAGGGCAAGGGTGCTTGCGTTAAAATTCGGGCGAGCCATAAGCATGACAGCATCCCCAGCCATGGAGCTGCGTGGTGGTGCTGCGATATGTCAATTACTCACTCATTATTGAACAGCAGGATTCTGATTAGCTTATAAAACAAATTTGTGCTTCTCCTACCAGGATCTTGCAACAGTACCCAGAAAACCACAAAGTCTTTATAGCTTCTCCCCCCCACTTTTTTAATGGGCAGGATGTATCCAGCTCTTCTGAGTCAGTCACATCCATTCTCTGGCTTATAGGGCGGACTCATTTGCCCCAGCCAGAGGCCACCAGCTATGAATGGAGAGTTTGTTAATTAAAAAGTATGCTGTGGTTTCAGGAGTAAGTTTTTTCCAACTGCCGGAGCAGTCTTTTATGTTGTGTTTATCAATAAGCGGCAGCTCTGAGGTGGGACTGAAGCTGCATCTACCCAGCCCTTGGGGCAAAGCTGTCCACTTTACGGGTGTTCACATGTACAGTGGACGTGTAGAAGTGTGACTCGCGTGTGTGGGGCTCAAGGAAGATACAGGCTTGATATTCTGACAGTGTCCTTTACCCCAAATGGAAAACAGGAGATTCACAGCTTAATCTTTGTATTTGTATTTAAGTTATTTTCTGAACAGTTAAAAAAAGAAAAACCACACTGTTACCATGATCCTAGCTCAGTGAACATTAGTACATTAACTACACATCACCATAACATAATCACAAAATTCAAAGCACTCATTACTTAAGAATCCAGATAACAAATATAGCAGAGTAACAAACAGAAAACTCTGGAGAAACCATGTTCTTTCTCACCTCTCCCACTTCCACACCCACCTCAGCCTGAGCAGGCAGGAGTGATGCAGCATAGGCTGGCCTGGCAGGCATGCAGCAACCTAAATGTAGTGATGGAAAATGACTGGGAGAAATGGGATGTTACGTTTTGCTGAGGTCCACATTATTTTTCTGCCATGCTAAAACTGTGGCTAGGCTGAGCTCTACAGTGCCCCACATGATAAAGACAAAGTAGCTGAAAGCAAAGTTTTACGCTCAAAAGCAGCTCCAGATTTTCACACTGAATTGCCCAAAATTCTCACAGCTAGCTCCTTGTAAAAGCCACTGCAAATAGCCTGGGCCTGGCTGGCTTGCCTTCCTCCTGCACAGGAGCTTTGCTCAGACGTAAACCAGTGCTTGAGGACCAGCAGATTAAAACACTTTGCCTGTAAAGGCAACGAATTGTTATTCATCATAGCTGCTCTGTGATGAAGACAGGTATTTCACACTGATTTTCTGGCCACAGCTGCAGAAATCAGGGTATCTTGTAGGGTGGTAGGCGATTAAAAAAATGGGACCTATCCAGGAGCTGGTTACAATATCTAAAAGGTTTGTTGTACATCCATGTACATCAGCATCCCTCTGATTTTGAGAATATCAGCTTAGCATCACTTATGATTAACCAGTGTTGCCAACTCCCATGGGTTACCTGCTGGACAACAAATGTGGAAACCTACCAGTCTTTGGGAATAAGCAAAAAGTAATCTTTCTGACAAGACAAAGCACAATTTATTCTGTCAGTGTGTCATGGCTCACCTTGGGAGACATGCTTTGGGAATTTGCCAGTTGTTTGGCTACATATTATTTAAAAAAAAAAAAAAAAAAAAAAAAAAAAAAAAAAAAAAAAAAAAAGGGGTGAGAGGGAAAGGAAGGGAAGCCAAATGCAGAGCTTCAGCAGGCAGCTGTTCCTGTCAACCCGCTGCTGGGGTTGTGGAGAAGGAACATGCCCAGGGGACCTGCTGCTTCTGTAAGTCACAGAATCCTCAAGGTTGGAAAAGACCTTGAAGCTCATCTAGTCTCTGAATTAAAAGTGAGGACAGAAAGACTACAGCCCCGTCATTGCCAATCAGTCTGGTAGGGACTTGCCAGCAGGAGGATGGAGGGATTTCATATGGAGACCTCCTCTGGGGACAACTGGGTCACTTGCTGTTTTTCCCCCTCCTTCTGGGAAGCTGCTGCTTATTGCTTCATGGGGAACAGCTGGGCAAGGCTCAGCATGTCAGACGCATCATGCATGCCACTTGGGGACCCTAGCGAAGTTCGTTCTTCTCTTGGCAAGTGTAGTTTAGAGCATCCCTTTCTCCTCATGCCCCCAGTGAAACCTAAAAAGGGGCATCAACACATTCAACAGTTGGAGGCCTCGCTTGATTACCTCCTGATGACTTTTGACATTCTCATAGAAAACCTCTGTTCTGAGTCAACCACACAAACCAAGAGATTTATTTTCAGCATTGTCCCCACTTCTGTAGAGGTCCATCTCCACCCCCACACCCCCTCCTAGCTTTCAATCACTTGCATGGTCCCACAATTAAGAGCAAGCCTGCAGTAGGAAGGCTGGCTGCTCCTTCTTGTCCAATTCTCTAGCTAGGAAGATCTGCTAGTGTTTGTGATTTATCACACATAAATATTCCTCACCCCTCCCAGCAAATTTAGGAATCATCAGCCACAAAATGCAGCTCTAAAATGGTGTTAAAGGAAGCTAACAAAGTTAGGCAAAGAGCCCAACCTGGAAATGTGCTTCCTATTGGAGCTTGGATGCCCAAAACCTCAGAACCAAGCCTGGAGCCCTGCTCAGACTGAGAAAGGAGCATGTGACAGGGGCAGGAAACACATACCTGGGAGTGGAGAAATGCACATGATACTCTCCAAAAAAAAAAAAAAAAAAAAAGAAAAAGAAAAAAGGATCCTTTGGAGCAGGAGCAGGTGGTGGGTAGGCAGAGCATGGTGGTCCAAGTCAGCTTCCAGTTCAGAAACAGGTGTAAAGCATTTCAATGTTTCCCATGATCATAGACTTATCAACTTGTCACCTGAATCCTTCTGTTCCAACAGCGGATGTGTCTGTCCCTGAACGTTAATGGGGAGCAGAGGGAGCTGCTCCAGAGGAGACAGCTGCAGAAGTTTTCTCACTGCAAATTCCTTCATGTAATTTTCTACCTGTGTATTTCAAAGCAAGCTGTATTCCTCTGAGGATGAGAAATATTTGCAGCAGAACTGTGCCCTATTGCAAAGGAGTCACAAGCAGGAGATGGTGTGGCCATAACAGACTGTCCTGCTCTGAATGTCCCACACCTCCAGTACTTTCCATCCCATAGTCCAAGGGGGAAGGCTAGTGTGAGCTTCCTACTTGCGGAAGAAGAGCCAATCTCTATGCAGCAGAGGTATTTCATTTCAAAGCGATGTGCAACACTTAAAGCCCACAGACACTTCCAGCCCTTTTTTAACTCCTTTCAGCAGGCACGTTCTAGTTCTTTTCATTATAAACTCTGCAATTACTCCAACCTGGCTGAGGGATTATCCATCCAGTTCATGCTGAAACCTCTCTCTCACATGCACTCTTGCACACTCACACTCACACACATATCCTAAGGGGGGAGGGGGGGGGGGCAGAGTTTGAAAAAGCCATTTTCTTCTGACACTGGGAGATCTACTTACCAGATTGCTCCTCCCTGGGTGCACAAATAAACACCACCAAATGTCAGGCTGTGGCAGTTTCAAGTTCAAGTTAGATCAGTTAACTTCAGTTTCCTTCTTAGCTATCAGAAAATCTGTATAACTTGGGGAGCGGGGTAGGAATCCTCACCCTTCTGCACTTCCGTATGAAGTACCCAGAGTCCATTCTTGAGGGCAAGACAACATTCTCTTACCATGTACCAAAAATGGATTTCAGCTGTTGCTCACTAACTGTACCTTAAACAGCCCTATACAGCAGAGTTCAAACTATGGTACCACCTGAAGACCCAACAGTGCTTAGAAGTTACAGAATAGCAGCATAGAGCAGCAGGGCTATGACAACCAAGGACAGTCTGCAGTGGTGCTGTCTCTGTGTTTGGCCAGCCAGTCTTCTGGTTCTCCCAAATTCTCTCAACTAGCAAAATAAAATGCATCCTTGTAAGCATTGGCCACAGAGATTCAATTAAAAAATTAGGAAGTTCTGTAGCCTTCAGAGGCTGGAGTAACAGGTAATTATTTTCTACAATAACCTAAATGTAAAAGACAGTGGATGACCAAACTGAGGAAAATAACTATTAAATCTGCAGCCAAGATCATATAAACCCCTGTTGATATGCAACCATGCTGCATAACTGAACTTAAAGGAAGTGTTCAAATAACATGAAGAATAAGACTCAGAACTTCAACTCAGCAAAGCTTGGGATGTAAACTTTGATCCCCTCTGCTCCCTTGCCACTTTAGCTTTGGGACTGCAGTATGTTTGATAGTAGAGCTGCCTGAAATCCCAAACAGTGTTCCTAGACTTAAAAGTAGTGCCAAAATTGGTTCTGGATGAACTTCTTGTTCTGACTCAGAACTGTTATGACTCTGCAGAGGTAAGTCACACTGTCAGCGTTACCTGAGCAGAGTTGAGTTGTTAACGTGCTTGACTCTCTTACAGTAATAGTTCAAACAGAAACCAGGAGTGTCACCACACGCTTTGAGACACTCTTTAGAACTGATGTAGTCTTTAGGCTCAATGAAAATACAGGCAGCTGAGTGCTCAACACCACTGCCCATGTGCTTCAGGAACTGCACTAGGTACTCCCCAAGCACCAGCTTTCCTTTCTTCCATAACTCCATCACCTTCTTGTCTGTCTTAACTGTCACCAAAATGATTGAAGTCCTCTGGACTGCTCTTTGGGGACTCTTAGACCAGCTCCTTGAAAAATTTAATTGGTGGAAAAAGCGTATCCCAAGCAATTAGAAACAATGCAACTGTTTCCCCAGCAAAGTGAACTTGATGAGAATAGCTTTAAAAAATTTCCCATCTGCCAGGTTCCAAGTTTAGAGGGTGTTAACAAAGCCTGTTTAAAGCCCCTCCAGCCCAGAGACGAAAGACCCCGGTTTCCTGTTGTGGGATTGGAGCAATTGTCCACTAAGGCAGTGGGGTTATTCAAGAGCTACAGTGGAAGATCTGGGCTCAAACCTGTAATGGTCAGGAAATGATTTAAAGAGTCTTTCCTGATCTAAATGCAGGCCTGCTGCAATTCCTTCCGGCTCTGTAAATAGAGATGTTTTCTCCCAGACCCCTCTGTCTAGTTCAGTGACATGCAGAATTATTTCTCATGTCTCTCCCCTTTAGGACTATTTTTATCTTCTGAACAACAGCAATTTGCAAAAGCCTCAGCTAGAAAGCAAAGATCCAGCTCAGCTATCAGCAAAGGGGCTAACCAGCCTGTGTCCCTAAACCACAATGCAGCATGAACATAGGTTAGAGAAGCACACCAAAAGCTCTCCCTCTGAAGGTTTTCTAGCAAGGCCAGACCCAGAAATACTGCAGAACTGGCCTGAAGCCACTGCTAACTCTAAGGACTGTACTCATGGCCATACTCATTTTACCCATCTGCCATCACCATGGGACTGTGCATTTGCTCGTTCACATGAGCAAGGTCTTATTGTCATGGCCAGAGCATTTGCATAGTGTCTCTGCTCTAGGGTGGCTCGATCTTGAGAGCTCCATGAGGTTTTTCGCAGCTCCTTCTTCCAGCACCCAGCTACAGCCTCTCTGAAGGGAGAAGGAATAGAAAGAAAGCAGCAACATCCAGCTTTCCTCCCCACCCCAGCCTCAAACCTCCTCCAATTTACTAAATGATTCGTAAGCCATCAGCAAAACACTGTCTTCAGGGAGAACCGCAGAAGGAAGATGGTACAGACAATCCCTTTGCTAGTGAAATACTGCCCTGGGCCAACATTTCACCTGGGGTAGGGGGTACAGGATGTCAGCCCCAGTCCATCATGCTTGGGACTTTGGCAGAAGAGAGTTTAACTTTTCATTGACTAGCATTCCCCAGCCAAGCAGATGTTAAGGGAGACTATAATACACATCCAGCTTCCAAAGGGTTAGCATAGCAGGCAGGAGAGGAAAGAGATGGATTTGGCTCATAATAGTCAAATTTCAAGGGTCCTCTCTCCACAAAAAATAGGTCTGCAGTCAGAACAGCCAAAAGCCGCAGGGAAGTCAGGGGGGAGCTGGTCTGGCTGTTATAACTGTTTCTGTTGCTCTTCAGAGATGAATGCTTTTTCAAAGGCCTAGCGATGGATATGATTTCAGTCTGAGAGTAGCAGCCTCCTCCCCACCCACCCTCCCACCCACCCCAAAGGGACTCTCTCAGCAGGATGCACTGTGGCTATAAGTCTTCTGCTTAACAGCAAAGCAACACATTCTGGCAACATCTTAAATATATTCATAGGACATCTGTGACTGGGTTTGGAGGGGAACCAAACAGGGTAAAGGGAAGAGGAGTGAACAGGAAAAGGGGGATGAGGGAGGAAAGGGATGGAAAGGTTTAAAAATGTTAACTGTTCATGAAAGATAAAAGTCATCTTCTGATATAGCAGCACTTTAGCAGTCAGCCGCGCTGAGTAGACCCTGTCTGAGATCAACCGCATGCCAACTTTGTTCCAGAAACAAGTCTGAGAGCCTCTCTCTTCAGCAAGTGTTGGTTACGTGGATAGTTCTTTTGTCCTGGCATTGGCAGATAATTTAAATACTGCAGCTGAAATGAGTCCTGGGAACAAAAAACAGAACAAACCAAACAAACCCCATTCGTACTACAGCTTTTAATGATTTAAAAGAACATCTGATTGACCAGAGTGTTTGAGAAAAATCAAGACAACTGATGTGACAGCTCCTGAGCATCACTGCACATTTACCAAACAGACAGAATACAGGATGTGCCCCATGACAGAGCATTTTCATGAGAAAACGTCACTGTGGACACCCCCTTGCAGAAGCCTGTCAGCTCTCCTGTCATTTTTCTCAAGCTATTAACAGTAATTGTGCATGTATCCACCAAAGTGGGCAATCACGCTATCCCGCTCCACTCACATACATCAACTACAACTGACACAAACACATGAAACATTATGTCCTCCCCACCCTGTGCTGGCCAAGACAACAGGGTAAGATGATGAGCAAACCAGGCTGGATCTGATATGAACAATTTAACACTGGTGCTATGCTAGAGAGAATGAGGGCTAGGCCCTATCAGTAAATGATTTTGCACACTGATGCATTTCGATTAAATTTGCCTGGCCTTGTGCCTCAGTGTCTCCTCCCCCAGCCAAACTGTTCTCTTGAATCAGCTTGCTGCAGAGTGAGAAGACTGGTCACAACTTCAGAGGGAGGGAATAAAGCTGATGCTTCTTGGCAAAACCCTCCTGTCTGATGACAACTGCCCAGGGTCAGGCCATCTGCAGCCCCTTGTTAGGCAGCAGCTGCTCTACTCGCTCTGCAGAAACCCTTCTTCCTTCTGGACAGCAGTGAAGGCTGATTTAACTATTGATGATGATGGACAGAGGAGGAGGGGCTCTTCACAGGAACTCACAAGGTGCCACATGCCCCAAATCCTAAAATAAATCCCTGTTCTAAGGTATTAAACCCATTCCTGTCCTTTTACAAGACACCGTAATTACTGTCCAACCAAGGTGAGAAATACTGACAGACTCACTAGTTATTCAAGCAGCATGCTTGCACTACATCCAGTGTCATGTTTGAGCCTCATCTGATTTTATTTTTTTTTTACCTGTGCGAGTGTGAGGTACAGTGTAGTGTTATTTATCTTGAGATGTAGGTGTATGTTCTGGACGGGGAACGAGTGGATTCTGCTTGGGCGGCTGGGTCATTCAGAAAATCCCAGATGAGGATGGTGTCATCATGTGAGCTGCTGACGATCTGGAACTCGTCAAACTGAAGTCGAAAGACTCTTCCAGAATGCTCCTAAATTCAAGTGGGAGACACAGCATGTTACTTCACAAACTTGCTGGCACCTGGGATGGAGCAGAGAAGATGAGCTTGGGCTTGGATTCTAGTGTTAAATTAATTTCTCAGTAAACCCCACATGACACACTGTGCATCACTATTACATAGTGTAAATTAAGCCCTCTTTCAGTGTAAAGGGTTTGTCATATCTGAGTTCTTGGCTCTCAGGAAGTTTACCTTACAGTTATCTTGTTACTTCTTAAATCCCAATATTGGACACACACTGTGTAGAACAAACCAAGCTCCCTCAACCACACAATTCACTCTGGCAAGGCTGACAGAAGCACTGTCTTCCTTGTTCCATGGTGAAAGTCTTTCCTGAAATCACAGCATTCCCAGATGCAGTTAGGTTACAGGGGGAGAGATGAGAACTCTACATTCAAGACTTGGCACCACTGACACTGCTGAAGAGGAAAAAGCTTAATACTGGAGGACACTAAGGAGCCTGTTGTAAAGTCCAGTGACACAGTAATAACTCCTCTTAAGCAGTTCTAAAAATATGAACCAGAAAGGGCATTCTTTATAGGCAGTTTGCATTCTGCTCTGAGGCTGAGTGGAAATGGCATGACAATTTGGCAAGAGTTCAGACTGTAATTAACAGGAGGTAACGGCAAGATCCTGGATATCACATAGCAAATCCACTATGCTTTCCCTTTTGTGTTGCCTGTTTTTTCTTGGTGCTTACATTGCCATAAGAGTGAGCAGTAGCCTCTTCCTCGGTCAGAAGGGAACAGAAACCATGCAACAAGGATGAGCCCTATCTCTTCCATGCATATATATTTCTCTTTAGTGCTCACATGTCACAAGGGGCTTAGGGTCATGAAAAAAACACATCTTAACAAACATTTAGACAGAAGAGAATTGTTAGCTACTAAATGGAAAGCCTCTGTCTTACGGCACAGGACTAACAAAATACAGCTTGGTTTGTAAATAACAGCTGCTTTCACGTGAACCTCTGAATCTTTAACATTAACTGAAAGTATGCACACACAAAAGTTGGATTCTATTTTTAAGGTAACTTTTCAAAAAAGGTCTAATCATTGGAACCTTTACGATCTTCTAACTATGACCTGAATTTGTCTTAAAAACATCTTATGGGTTTCTGTCTTCCCACCTATTCCAAAAGAAATGTTTTTCCAGAGTCTGTGCTGTAGCATTGAAGTGAAGAAATTCTTGCTAAAAAATATCACTACAACTGTCAGATCCACTGAGGGATGGCTCACAGAGACAGTGAAAGAGGGGTGCTTCCAAAACTCCCTTTTTTCACCCAGTCACTCTGGGCTAAGTAAGGTTGCCCTAGAAGTTCCACATAGCACTTGCATTTGCTGTTGCAGTGGCAATAAGCAGAATGCACACCCTAAGCTGAGCCCATAAGGACCCAGACTCTTGTTCATAAGGAAAGCTGAACTGCGTGCTTATTCTGTGCCTGAAAAGCTTCTGTCAAATCCATGTGGCCGCTGTTCCAGCTAACGGAAGACAAAACTGGAAGAGACCTGGCATGCAGCGAGCATTTGTTATCTGCGCACTTTCCTCCTACTGTTTGAAAATTGAACACGAGCAGCAGGAGACTCACGATGTTCATTGTGTAGCCAGGTTTAATTTTGGAGGCCAAGGGAAGAGAAAAAAAAACAACAAACCCACGGGTAAGCGGGTATAAGGACGCCCTGTTGTCATAAACATGAAAAGTCCTAAAAGCACCACAACAACTTCCTCTGCCTCCCCTCTTTTGGCCCCCTCCATCGCTATCAAACAGGGATTTATGAGCATCCATGTGTTGAGATTCCTACAGTGTTTCCATCCCACCGCTTCTGATTTATAATATAATTAGCTGGGGCACTTTGGCTGTCCACTGCTGGAAAATGCAGAGGAAATCACAACAGTTAAATTAAGTCTACAGGTTACTAGGCACACATTTGTCTCAGACTGGAGCAGGAACACTACTAATACCAAGCTGAAGTCTTAGACTCTCAGGGTATGTGCTCATGGGCTCAGAGTTGTTCCTTAGTTTGGAACTGGGTGGCTGATGACAAAGGGTTTTTCTGGATTTCAGCCATGAAACTATTTGCAGTTCTATCTGGCTAACAAGAGGGCTTTTCAACATAGTACCTGCAGGCATCCAAGGCTCTCACAGACTCTTATTCTGCAGCTTATGGTCCAAATACATGATTGGAAAAGAGTTAGCACAGCTTAATGATCTACTGCCTGTCAGCTGAGTCACAGTAACCCTTACAGCCTGAACCAAATGTGAAGTAAAATACTTTAGTGAAATCTAGAGCAACAATAGCGATTCAGGTGGTCGATGAATGTGCAGAAGGTCAGCCAGCACAGCTCAGCTGGTGAGAGGTAACCGCACTTTCAGAGAATCAGACAGCCTTGGTATGATCTTGGTTTAGAGAACAGACTACAGTCACATGTCACAGCAGGAAATGGTCTAACGTATACCAACCCAAACACTTCTTAGCTAAAATATAAATATGTTTAAGTACTTCTTTTTCAGTGAGAATTTGGTACTAGATTGAAATCTTCCTTTATCTCCAGAAACAGTGCAAGTTTTTTGGGGTGAATGTGATGGAGGAATGTTTATAGGAACCATCCCATGGCCTTGGCTGTACTGGCATTTTTCTCACAACTTTCCCACATTATTATAAGACCAGTGCAGAGTCACTGTTAAGCATGACTGTGAATGTTGTTAACACTCACACAATGACATTTTAACCATCATCAGACCTGCACTAAATACCAATGGATGGCATGAAAGTAGTCGCTGCTGTTTAAGGACAAGGCAATTTCACTGTCTGTTCCAGTCCTTACCTGCTTTTTTCTTAAACATCCAAAAGCCAGTTAAAAGCAACCCCAAGGGTGTTTTTGTTCTTGTTCCTCAAATTTGGAATGTACTACTTTTCTTTAAGAAATTTCATGTCAACAATTCAGACAACTTAATACTACATCATCAGGTACACACTGGCACATGGATTCCAAGAACAGAAGTCTCAAAAATGGATTTAGCTATTAATCTCAAAACACAGAACTGTTAAAACAAAGTGAGTGAAAACTCCACAAGTTCTAACTTTCAGTGCTTTATAACTTGCAACATTAAAAAAAAAAGCTGAACACTAAAAAAAGATAGACCCCTAGAAATGATTTCTAGATCCTGTAGGACGGGACTAAGCTAACTTCAGTTTTTATGGCTCAAGATAGCCCTGATCAAGCACACTCTTCTGTCTCTTGCCTACCATCCCTACCAGAAGCTCTTACCACAAGGGTTCGCAAGCAGAGGGTCCCTGCTGGAGCACGAGGGTCCAAAGCAGCCACAAGATCCCATACTTTAATTTTCCTAGTAGCAAAAAAATAGATAAACACCATGGCTCTGTTAAAGACAAAAGAGCAAGGGCTCACAGAAGAAAATTAACTATTAGTACAGCTTAGCTAATACACCAGTTCAAGGAAAATTACAGCAATCCTTCTGCTCCTGAAGACCAGGTTCTTGCATTTCCCCTTTGTAAAGTTTACAGAGCTTAATGGGAGAAAAAAATATGTTGTCAACAAAGAAAAACACATAAAAAGCAGGTGGTAACAACTAACAAAAACATGTGGGAGTGCAGACACCTAGTCTGTAATAGCAAATATCCAGAAGACATAACCACAGATGGGAAAGAGTGTTCTTACCAGTGGTTCAGTTAGAAGAGGTTTCAGGTTGAGTTGGTCAGATATTCCTACAAGTTAAAGAACTGAACCACACACATCAAATCACACTGACTTATTTCAAAAGAAGAAAAAAAGATATACTTTGCAGCATGGCCCTGATTTACTGGCCTTGAAAATGTCTTCTTGGTATGACAGACGAGGAGAGTATTATTTATAAGGAGGATACAGCAAAGTGGGACGTGAGACACTGATACAGACAGGAAGATGCAAGGTATTGACTGCACTGACAGGCTCACCCATCATATGCCCCACTGACTATCCTCTTGTTATCAAAGCGTATGCATCTCACCAACTCTTCATGGCCTTCTAGTACTCGTAAACATGCCCCACACTCGATATCCCACAGTCTGGAAGAGAGTACAGAGAAGCACTAAGAATTTTTTAATATCTGATCATTGTAACTAAACATTTGCTTGTAGTTAATGGGAACTTGGAAATAAAGATTATGATGGAACAACACAGAAGAAACAAACTACATTCATCACTCCTTTTCCTGCTGTTAAGGGATGAATGCTTTTCAACATGACCCTGTTATGTTACAGTATCACATGGGAAATGAGTCAGAGATCCAAAAATTTTAAGACCAGCTGTGTCTAGTATCTACTGCTCTAGTAACACAGGGTATTTCCCAGTTATCTTCACAGTGAGCCTCATAACTTTATTTTACTGAAATTGTTTTTTCATAGAAGTATCCTGCCTTGATTTTGAGATGTTAAGAGAGGGAGATTTACCAATCCCCTTGGGAGTTTGTTCCAAGGTAAGATCACCTTCAAAGGGCAGGTGCCCCTTTCCGTATCCCTACATGCCTATTTCTGATTTCAAGACTACCATCAGACAAATTAAGAAATCAATACAGTGGTGAAAGGTACAAGAATTAACAAACCCTTTTTTATTTGTCACTTTTCCCACTGAAGATATGTTTACTCTGCAATCTAGGCACCTTATGCATAAGGTAAAATGGGCATTCTGTGTTTATTGTAATGCATTTTCTACTTGCTCTCAAATAATTCCTGTGGCTCTCTGCTGTTTCTAATAATCCAATGTTTTAAAAAAGTTCTGGCACCAAACCCAGTACATTCTATCCCAGTATGAGACTCAGCAATGTGTTATTCTCTCAACTGTAAATATCCCAGAGTTTTGGGGGTTGTGAAGGATTTTTAGCATGGAGAATAAATTAAAATACATTAATTTGTACACTTGCATACTACTTTGAAAAATATTTAAGAAATGCTTGAAACAGTTACAAAGCAAGTCTATTTACTTTCCATACTTTTGTCAGCTCTTTGACATGACTCCCAATTACCACGGATAAAGAAAGATTATTTGCCTACAAGAACTGAAATTCTTTGACATATATTATCTAGACATGTTACACCTCTGGCCGAGATGCACTCTGCTCACAGAGGAAGCTTTTAATAGCAGTATCTGCTGCGGCTCCGTGACACACAGCTCAAAGTAGCAGTCACAAATGTCCTTAAATGGTCATTCAATTTATGTTCAGACTGACATGAACTTCACAGTAGTGAGAAATATGGGTGGTTTGTGTAATTTCTCTGGATGACACATCTTGAAGCAGCACAGCTGCTAAAGGGTCAGGTCACTTTTCTTTGAGAGACAGACAAAGAAAGAGAGAAGCTGTCTCCACATATTTTACTCCTGAGGTCTCCTGGGGAATAATCCAAATCCAGTGGATCTCTGCCCAAGGTTGGTGGATAATGGTTGCAGCTGTCCTGTCACGACACCCTGATCTCACTTCAGGCAAAAGAGGAATGAACAGAACTCTTTCGTCACTGGGAAAGGATTTGTCTATGCACATGTTTGAGGCCAATGAGGAGCACAAGGCTATTCTTTGATCCATGAAGTTGATAATTCAGGGATATGTGAAGATCCCAATAATTTTCACATAAGTACCAGCACACCAGTCAAGGTCAGAGCAAGCATCTCCATAGCATAGGTCAGCCAAGGGCACTCTGGCTGGTCCGAGAGCATTAAGTCTCTCAGGGACTGTAAACAGGATAGAGAATGCCAGAAATGAACTGGTGCAGAAAGGTTTAAAGAACAATCTTGTGCCAGGAACTTTTGTGCCATGTGTTTCCATTCCTTGCCATCAATCCCGAGATTGCCAGCAGCCCTAGGAGGCCGCATCACACTAATTCAGGCCTGTATTTTCAGGTCCCAGTTTGAGGCTTTACCAGAATCTGAATGAGATTAGAAGAGATGATCATGTTCCTAGCCACGTGGGGAATGGGCCTTCATGTACAAAAGGAATAACTGCTATGTAAGAGCAGAACCTCCTAGCAGAATTGGTGCCAAGGGTACCTTCCAGATTTGATAACCTTCTCAAATTTCTACTTTAAAAGGTCAAAAGACTAAATAGTAAGAGAACTACTCTTAAGGCTTGAGAACTAACTAAAAAGTTCACTACAAAGTGTACACAGTCAAAAACACTACCAGTCTTCCTCCTACAGCTCTGGCAGAACTCCTGAAGGTAGAGCAAGGTCTACAAATATCTCAGCCTTTAATTCACTTGAAGTCCTGGCAGAGCTGCAAGACGTACAGAAGGCAGGTGAGCCTGAATCCCCATCTTCTAGAGAGAATGCTGTTTATCTAAACAGTCCAATACCATATCCCCACGTGTGCACACACTGGATGTTGAATACACACATATAAATCAACCACTCTTTAAAAATTAACCCAAGATGATGTAGTCTGATTCTATTTTCTTGCTCCAAATTCTCCCTTTTAAAATTTTTTTCTCTACCACGCTTGTTTGCAGCAATTAAGAACTTTGGCCCTAGAGGCTAAGATACTGAAGTGATTGGATTAAACTTGATGGATCAGTTTCTACCAGACGGAAATCAGCACAATTATAGTGATGCCTGTGTAGCTGTGTTCTCTTACACTGGTGAAAGTTTTCACCTAAACCAAAACCTAAATCATTTTTATACATGGAGTCTCTCTACAGAAGAAAGATATTGATTTCTCAGCTACTTCACATGTCCTTACGTTTGCAGTTGCAGAACTAGAAATCAGAGTTCTCTTTTGGAAAAAAGTTTTCCTGCAACTGAGGAATGACAATCTTCAAATTCCGTATCATGAGGCAGCCTCCACTTAAGGCCAACACACAACATCTGGCATTTTACAGTGGATTAAAATCAAACATATAAAGCACTAAACCACCCACAAAGATGACTTAGTAATCTGCCCTTTCTTAATCACCTTCCACTGATTTGTGCCCTCTGCTAATGGCTGGGAGAAAACAATGTGATCAGGTAAGCCTTGTGCCTTCTCCTCACACAGCTGACAAACTTGACTTCTATTAAGATTCACTGCCAACATTCCTGAAATTCTAACACAATTTATCTGTCAACTAGGGATTTTGTCCAATGTAAGCATAAAAGTAACTGTATTCCTCTTTAGCATTATCACTATCTTGACATTTATTGTTATTAGCAAGCCATATTTTAGATCCTTCCCTAACTGCTGCAATATTTAACTATTTCCTACTCTAATTCTGAGACCAAGTTTCGTAGTACAATTGCAGAGGTTTTGGGTTTTTTTCTATTTTTCTATTTGCAGGAGTTCTCACCATGTGTAAGTGTTGCTACAATGCCTGTAATACTTTTTCCCATGATTAAGAGGCAGAAGTTCTAGCTCTCTTGGTCATGTCTCAGACAGTCCTACACCAAAATCTGGCACAATGACCTGGTGATGTCAACCAAAGGACCACTATTTTCCTACAGAATGCAAAGCAGGAAGGCAGTGCATTGTAAGCAAAGTCCACAGGCAAACAGTAGTGTGAATCCTTCTCACTGAGGAGAAATTATTACTGACATGCAAAGTGAAGGGTTTCTGCTTGCACTGTCCAGCTTTCAAGTTTTATCAGAAGGCAGACAAATATTTAAAACAAAGGCAAAAGGGAGGTTGCTTTTACTCCTGCTTGCACCACAGAGCCATTTCCCTATGTCACATACACTACTACTCAAGTTTGTTCCATACACCCTGAGATTAGTAGTACATCCCTCTACCAGCAGCTACAGGATATGGGGAGAAATCCTGGCTCATGGTACCAGAAGGAGTTAAATCACAGATTGCAAGCAGGGCAGCTGGAGAAGTGCAAAAGGGAGCAAACTGAACTTCATGCTCTAAACCAGCTGTTCCAAACTTAACCAGGTGCCAAGTACCACAAGAAGAGTTTGGCGAGAGCCCAGGAGGATTTCTGCAGAGGATTAAATGCCTCTTACTGCAAATCTGACCCCTTTAACTAGACACATAGCCCAATTAAAATATCACAAGAGGACATCACAGAAAGTGGCACTTGTCAGCTCCTTCATACACCAGAGTTGTCAGAGCAATGCAACTTGTTGATTAGTATGGGACTCTTGAGATACAGAGGATGAAAGACAACAGAGTAAAACAGGCTTCTAATATCTCTTTGCAGTAGTTCCCAATGTTTTTTACCAAAGAAAGCATCTTTCAAAAATGACAAGGGTACAGAGCAGTTCGGTTGCCTAACCTCTGGACATCCCAGGGAATTAGAGACAATGTGCTTGCACAGAACTCTGCAACGGGGAGTGTGTCTCTCACCTGATAGTATTATCTGAAGAGCCGCTCACTACTAGCCTGTCTCTGTACTGCAGACATGCAATGCCTCGTTTGTGGCCATTTAAGGTGCGCACAAATTCGCAGGTACTAGTGTTCCATACCTGTGACGGGAAGCAGGGAGGGAACCACACAGAGACAAAATTATTAAGATGATACTAACAAAAGCTGGTATCTGTATGATATATAGGTGCATCCAGAACGTTCTTAATTGAAGATGCTATCCTTAAGACTGGGAAAATTACTTGTGACTATAGTCTGCAGCTTTTAGCACTGCACTCACAAGATTTTTGCCACACATGAGAATCAATTTCCAGAATCAAGTTTTAGCACTCTCAGGCTATGATTTAGCCTACACAGGATCTTGATTTTTCTCAGTTTTAATGCCGCAGGCTGGGATCATAGCAGTAACACTTCAGTGACTCGTATCCATTCACCTTCACTTTTGCCCCTATTCTGCCCTCTGACAACTGTTCAAATGACTGATGTTGAAACAGATTATGGAAGTGGTCAAGTTGAAAAAGGAGACAGAAGAAAAAATTCCTTTTTCAACTGCATCTGTACCTGAATCTGATTTTCCATACAGTTCTGTAAAGTTATGCAAGCTCAACAGAGGAGGGATGAATGGAAATAAGCAGCAGGAAGATCTTCTAAAGGAAGATCTGTGTAATAACTGCCAAGGATAATCTTCCCTGTCTGGTCACTGTTCTTGGTTATTAAATACGCCAGTGCTGCAAATAAAAAGCCTCTGAAACACCTCACCTTTATAGTTCTGTCACCTGATGCTGATACAATGTACTTGTCATCAAAGTCCACCACGTTGACAGCAGCTCGGTGCCCTACTAGTACCCTCCTCAGGGTGATGTCTGTTGGTGAAGCCATGTCCCACACAGCAATGGAACGGTCTTTGGAACATGTCACCATCATGCCGTTATTGAAGCGGAGGTGCAGTACTGCTTCACAGTGGTGAATCAGTGTATTCAGCATCTCACCTGCATTCACGTCCCACACCCTGCAGTTTCAAATTTCAAACCAAAGAGAGTTAAAAAACAGCACAGTGGATTTTCTGTAGGGTGAGAGGGGGACAGGAAGAGGTAATTGACTCTCTAGCAATATTAGAGAAGCGAACATTGCAAGTTATATCTACACCTATTAAATAATTCATTAAAAGATGTATAATATAAACCTGTTGATTATGCATACATTGAGACAGTCCAGCAGTCAAAACCTCTGCAATGCAGTTAGCACCATAAAAATAACCCAGCCAGGAAAAAGCGTCCTTTAATTAAGGGAATTTAGTGCTGAGGAAAGGTATGAGATTGATGGCCTTATAGACTGATGTTTCCTGGTCCTGTCAGTCTACCACACACTCCACTTCCAGTCAATGAGTACTTAATCATGACCTGTGGAAAAGCAAGTTCAGTGACTTGTTTAATTTTGACCTCTCTCACAGGACTATCAATTCAAAGGATAATTTATACAGAAGCAGAAGACAAGATAATGCTTTTCAAACAAAGGTAAGTAATTCCCACAAGTTGCACCACGAATTGCATTTACCCTGCAGTGCATCTGGTACACAGCTACATTCCAGGAATGTGCTGAATACCCAAATTAAGAAAGAACATTTATGTCAATTTAATGTTATTGGAACCAAATGTTTCAGCTGAAAGATAATTAAAGAAGAAAGTTAGACAAAGGCTTCATACAGAACTTCTAGGACTTGAAGATATTAAGCCTTAAAAGTCTTTCTTTTAGGCTACTCCATTGGCAAACTTCTTCTACCCTCCATAAAGAGATTTACTTTGGCATTATCACACCTGTACCCCAGATACACTATGTGAGAGCAGAAAATAGCTGTATCATCAAGCACATCAGACATTGCAGAAGTTAAAACTTTCCTCTGCCAACGAGGTGAGCAGTAAGAAAAGACAAGATGTCAGAAAGGCTTCTAATGTCTTATTTCCTAACTTATGGAGGCTGAAGTGCATCAACTTACGGCCTATAAATGAGAAAGAAAACTACATTCCAAATACAAAATGCAAAGAAGAAAAACCCACAGACTAAAGACCTGAGCCATTAACACATGAGCAGTTTTCATATACGGTTGCCAAACTGAACAGGAGCTGGAGACCTACTGACTTCTTTGGACAAGCGCATCCCTGAGATCTCAGAAGCATTAAGAGCCCATCTGTACTGTCTATTGGACGAAGCCCCTCTTCCTGAGGAGACCCAAGGATAAAAGTGATGCATTCTATGTGCCTCTGGGGTCTGCACAAACATTTATAGATACAGTGGGAAACAAAGTATTTCTGGGCAAGTAGCCAGTCTGCAATTTAGTCTGCCTGGCCTGATATGGAAGATGATAGTGCTTTTTACAGAATTCAGCCTCTCCTTTTGTGATATGTTTAGCACAGTGCAGTTCCCACACCATCTCCGGGCAAGTGGTGTTGCTGGAATTCCAGATTCCTACCAATGACAGGACCCCAAAATCTAGCAGCAACACAAGACCGCATGCATCACATGTCCGGAATAAATTTAATGGTTATTAGCCACCATCAGCGATAGTTTACATGCAAGCACAGTGATAACCATGAGGAGCTTGCAGCCATAGGAACACATGCTAGTAGCAGAAAAGGCCACTGACACAGCTTTTTGTTGTCTGTAACTTCACTGCATGGCCATTGTTTGTACTCTGGCAAGAAGAGAACATGTAACAACATGGAGAAGACAGACTTGCTTCTTCACACCCAAGTTCATATTGCAATTTACTAACTCATATGTGTGTGTATTTATACTGCAGGTCTTAGACTTTCTGGGATCCTGTAATATGTCTAGTGTACTTCACATTCACACAACATGCACCACAAGTGCTGACTTGAGGTGTCCAGACTTTTGCTGGGGACTGCAAGGAACACAAAGTTAGAAAGACTGCATGAAAAGAAACACCATGCTGAAATTTAATTAAAAGTCACAGGAGATGTAGTCATACATTTTTTGTTAAAATTAAGTGACAGTAGATGACTAAACCTTCAAACTTGCTTTGAAAACTTCAACCAACTTTTAAAAAGTTATTCTCAGGGAGAATTTAAAACATTCTCAGGGTCTGTCAAAACATGCAAAACCTCAGTGAAATGCCACATGGCCTTCCTAAGTCATCCTGACCTTGACTGACCTTTGCTTAGGTTCTCATTTCTCCTTGACAGCCATTTGCATGAACATCTGATAAACAAGGAGAGTACACTCCTCAACAAATATGCTGAACTACTTCACAGAACCAACAGAACAGTACATATTTAAGAAATTACCATTTCAGCAGCTTGCAAGGCTAAAATCTTAGAGGCAAACAGAAAGCTCCAAATCATGAGCACACACCTGACTGTTGAGTCCGAAGATCCAGTAATGATCACCCGTTCATCATACTGGAGGCACAGGACAGAACCCGTGTGTCCGGTGAGAATGCGCTTGCATTCCAATGTATTCTTATCCCAGATCTGAGAGCAAACATTCAAAACCAGACAGTTCAGTAAGGTTTTCATCTTTCAGTACTTACTGGTTTGACTGGTCTGTTTTTTACTATAAACACATGATCCACAGTGCAGTCAGAACATCTTTAGTGGCATCTGTAGAGTCTTCTACAGGCTCTTTGGTGCAATACATTAACATCTTTGATATTACTGGCTTTACTATGAACATTGGTTTTACCCTTCTCACCAGGGTACAGTAATTACGTAGTCTGTAATTACTGATGGATAAAAACCCTGCTAGTGAACTGTTTGTAAGGAAATAGGGTCTCTCTTGCCAGACAAAAGAGGCATACATGCCGTGCAGGTGTGAGATAAGGGAAGGAGAAGGCTAGGTGTCACTGAAATTAGGACACATTTATGGCACAGACACTGCATGCCATTAGTATGCCATTCTGGAGCATTCTCACCTTAATAGTATTGTCTCGTAGGCCACTTACTATCTTCTGATCATCATACTGTAAACAATAAACCCCTTTGCTTGTCTCACTTCGGCAGTGGATCCTCTGTAAACTGTGTCTTCCACACCTCCAGTTTGACTCTATTGTCTTGAGGAAAAACAGGAGACAAAAGAGAAGTAAAAATAAAGAACAGAAATATAGAAATATCTCCCCTTTTTTTTTGTCTGTCTAAGACAGCAGATACTTTTCTTCACACTTTGTCCTGCATCAGGCCCATATAATGATATTACTGCCTTCTAGCAGAAGTAACACACATAATAAAACCAATTAAAAAGACAAAAGCCTGTAAAATATATTGTGACTAAACTTGTCTGTGTTATCTGGAATGGTGAAGAAGTGACCTAAAAGCTTTTCTCTATTGCAAACTTTTAACCCGTTATGACTCAACAACTAGACTAAAGAGAAAGTCTCAGCTGAGCTCTAGCTAAGTGCTTGTACAAACTTGTCACAACAGTGTCTGAGCACTGCTTTTCCTATTAGGAAACTACCAGAACATGGCATTTTGCTCACACTACATGCAAGACAACCATGCTCAGTTGCCTCCCGTTTCCCTGGGTCTTAGGATATCTTTAACAATGCCCTTTTCTCCCTGGCTCAGTTCTTATGTCCCCATAGCATCTTATTAGGTCTCATCTGCACTGGGTGGAGCAAATTGTGCTGCTGTGACATCTGACATGCAAGGTGTAGAGAGACTCCATCTGTGAACAGCTCACTGAACAATCCAACTCATCTTCTGCCTAAAGGAGCAGTGAAGCTTTGGACCTTACATAACTATCCCAGATCTACTATCTCCAGACAAATACAGACACATCAGATCTAATGAAATATTTAATTAGAACAAAATATTGTCAGAATTTCAACACCATGGATAAATCAGGGAGATTTAAAAAAACTGCAACCAAACATCACCACATCTGAAAGCTGTTTCTTACCTCTATGTCCTGTATAATTTTAGGGTAAAGTGCTCTGTAGAAGGAGTTGGGTGGTGCAGTCCCATCAGGAGGTTTATTTTTAAATAGATATTGTCCCCTGGAAGACAAAAAACACTCCCATTGAACGCAAATCATGTTTCAGCTTTTGGAGAAAGAACCTCCTGGCATTTTACAAATGGGGAACCACTGCTGAAAAGCACAGACAGATTCATATTCAGATTTAATTTACTCAGTAAGATGAGGTGGTTCCTTGTTTGTTTGATTGCATTTTGACACTGAAATACACATGAAAAATATGTGCCTAGTCACTCAGGGGAGGGAAATATATTATCTATTATGGATGTGAGCCTACTCAACTCAATAGGAGGTGAGAGTGGCTCATGCCTGCCACATACCCATATCAGAGGTCACCTTTAAAATAAAGTGCATAAAGAATGTGAAAGAAGCCAAGGAACCCTCAAAGTCACTATGCATTCAAGGTTAGATTTTATCTGCATTAGCAGGAACAGTATCAGTTTTGGTACATGGACATTTTATTTCTACTACTATATTTTGGTAAGCAACACTTCATCTGTGGTGCCTCCCTCATTTCAACACTGATTTGGAATACTCATATCCCAAGCTAGATTTTTGCTACAAAAAAAATCTGTAAACGGCAATCACTACCTGCTGTGTAAAAAACTTTAATTCCTCATCCTGAAGTTAAGAAGCCACCAAACACGGTGTGGAAGCTAGTAAACCCCACCATGGGCGTACTAACTGCTGTTCTGCCTGGCAACATGCCTCACAAAATGGAGAGAGGCACAAATGCCTCCGAGTGTAATCCTGGCATCAGAGGCACAGAGTCTACACTGGGCCAGCTCTCCACTTCTCCCTCCCTTGCTCCATTATGGCATAATTAATTGTTCAATACTTCCTTGCACATTTCTTTCTTGTCCTTTCCATACAGTATACCTTGAAACTCATTTGAGATTGTACATCAGCTGCTCTGATGTACATGAACTAGGGAAATCACAACAATGAACTGAAATTTTTAGGTTACACAGTGGTAATGAACTAGAGGATTGAACAAACAAAATAAAAAATGCTCAAGAAAAGGCCTTTTGATAATTCTTTAAATAAAGTATTTTAAGTACAACTTGAGAGAAAGGTGCTTCCCACTTTGGACAGAGCAATCATCTGAGTCTTCTAATACAGTGACAAGCAGCCACTCACATGGGGACAAACACATGTGAAGAAGGGACACATGAATGCAGGCTAACCTCTAACTAGATGGCAGCCTATTTACTGTGATCCAGTCTAGAAGTGCATACAAGAAAATAAAAATTATTGGGCCAGGGAGACAAAAAACACTTGGAGATACATAGAATACCTAGGACACATCCTGGAAGACTTGGGATAGGTCTACGACAATCTGTACACAAGCCTGAAAACCTGCCTATTCTTTCAAGCTTTACTAGCTGATCTGATACAAGGTCTTGTTGCTACCTGTAACACCTGCCTTGCTGCATAGAGAGTCACTTGTTTACAGTTCAGCTAAAGGATTGCTTGGAACTCCCACAGCATCCCAGTGGATGTTGTGCTGTGGCTCTAGGATAAAAGGAATTATTGTTTGCAGGTTTTGATGACCAGCCAATTCTATCAAGTATTCAGATGGACACAATCATGCCCAGACTTTGGGCTTCTGTTTTATATTTCTCTAAATCTGTGTAACCCTAACTACTCACAGACAAGCTGTTAGTGAAGGCCACCGTGCTGCAGAACTGGGTGTTTCTGTTGTAAACTATGAGCTGCAAATGCTGAAATCAGGCAGCCCATGTGCAAAGTGAGGAGCTGTAAGCAAATAACAGCAGTCATTTATCATTCTGAAATGTCCAGTTAGTCACCTCCTTGTGCCATGCACAGCGTTAGCATTGATTACAAGCTATAAAGCTCTATATGACAGAGATGCAATTACACTGGACGTTTCTTGTCTGCCTCTCTTAACCACCCCACCATGCCTGCAGTTTTGTCTTCTAGAGCTCATCAGAGGGCAATCTGAAAGACAAGGCACAACTTGCTCCTGCTGTATCAAAGCAACCTCCAGGACACAGTGTAAACCTGAAGAAGAGGTGCAGTAAGAAGGGTGCGACTGTCCTCCAAGATAAGAAGCAGGATTTTGCAACTGTTTTTTAGAAATGTCACATGTCTGTATGACTAGTACTTGCTGCTGAAGTTATTTCTAAAATCTGGAAGGAGTAACTTGAGAACTATAAGCTATGATCTCTGACAAGATGTAAAGAATAGGTAAAGTTCCACAGAACAGGAAAAAGACAAATAGAGCTCTTGCATTTAAAAAAAAGGGAAGAAGGTCCACCAAGGAAATGGTGGACTGACCAACTCAACTTTTGACCGCTTAGCAGTTCTAGAGCACAAAATCAGATGAGTGCCTAGAAGATGACAAGGTGACAACAGGCAACACTGATCAATCCAGAATACGCTGTGTCAAACTGACCTTACTTCTTCTCATGACTTAGCAGGAGAAGTATAATCTTGGAAGAGCTCAAGGGTAGACACACAAATGGCTGGAAAGCAGAGTTTACCAATGGTGCACTGTCAAACAGGATGGCAACTGGGATCTTGTCCTAGATGTGTCATTACTGAGCATCTTCATTAATGACAATGAATGGAACAGAGAATGCATTTTTTACCTGGCCAGTGATACTAAAACTGGTAGAAGCTACAAGCACTTTGGAGGACAAGATTAAACTCATAATGCTCTTGACAAAATAGAGAAATATCAAACAATAAATAGAATCTAATTCAATAAGGGCAAGTGCTAAGTTCACATAAACATGCAAGATGAGGAATAATGGCTAAGTAGAACTTCCACAAAAAGGGTAATTAATTTTATAACATTATTATACCCCTGTTAAAAAAAAAAAAAAAAGCAGCACATGTTCTACTGGAAAGCATAAAATGAAGTGTCCTCCATACAACATGTAAAGCAATGATTCACACACCACCAAACTCTGGTGATGCCTCTGCAGAAGTAACACACCCAGCTGATTACACCATCCTCCAACAATGGAGTAGAGTAATTGGAGAAAAAAACAAGAATGACAAGAGGACAACACAGCATTAAGGCAGGTTATGCATCCAAAATGTAGGAAACATGATCATCTTCCAACATAGAACAGGTAACTGCAAAAAGGAGAATGAGAAACTGTCCTCTGTGTCTGTGTAGAATAAATATAACATGCCAAATAGCTAGGAAGACAGCCTAGATTTTAGGAAAATCCTTCTAACACTAAAGTTAGTGAAACTGTAAAACTCCTTGGCCAGGCAAGACCTAGGGAATCTCCAACAGTGAAGGTTTTTTAAGAACCAATTAGACAAACACCTGGGATGACTGAAGAGAAACCTGGCTCTGCCTCTGGGGAAAAGAAGGGACTAAATAACCTCTTAAGGTCCTCTTCAGATCTAATGTGACCTCAACAATACAGAACAAAAATAGCCTGGAGAGAACAAGGCACTAAAAGGAATGCAAAAGTTACCACTGCTACGCTTGTGTTTATTTTACACTCTTTATAAACATTACACTACTGGAGGCAGATCAAAATAGTATTTATTTTTAAAGGATGTTTCATAATCCTGATTTACTCGCCTTTACTTCCTGACACAAACAGTATAACAAAATTAACCATAAACCAGGAGTCTTTGTTTGCAACTCCGTATCTTTTTCTTTTTAATAGCAACCAAAAAGCCTGAGCTGTCACTTTTATCTTGTTTATGAAATATTCATACCCAGCTTCCTTTGTGCCAACATCCTAGGGACACCCTTGGAAAAGAAAATTATGTATTAAAGGACATACCCCTGAGAGGGAAAGTTCTAATGAAATGTTAACAGAGCAGCTTCAAACTTGAGTGAGACCCACATTGTAGTAAGGCTATTCCAGATGATTATTAACTAATCTATCTGCATTTCTAAAGTCCCATATTCTCCGTGGTACCTACCCTCAGCTTCCAGTTTGAAAATTAAACAGATATCTAATAGTGAAAATCTGCTGAGGAAAACAAACAGACCTATCAGGAAACAACTAATTCATAGCACATGCTGCCCCACTGCCACCCCTAAAAAAGCTCTTCTGCTCTGAACTGCTGACTAGTTTAGTGTTCCCCTGGGGCATACACAGCTTCTTAATTTGAACCAAATGACAGCTGGGCGTAAAAATCTCAGTCTGTATATCTCACTTGTCACAATGGGATAAGAGCATGATTGGATGAGGAAGGTGAAGAAAAAGCCCCCACATTGCCTGCATAGCCAAATAACGTTCTAACTTATCAACCCCCAAATTTTGATTTAAGCAACTGTCAGGTTTGGAACCAACATGGTATTTCAGGGTGCTAAATAACCCTCTTCAAACGTGGTTTGAAACACACAGCACCTACGGTCCTAAATGGGGTAAAAAGAGGTGAAGATGCAGTTTCCTCACCATCCTCTCCTCTCTGACAACCCCCTCCACAGGGAGTCCGTCCTGACCATTCTCTCGATGAGCTTCTTCCACAGCATGCCATCCGACGTCACTCGGTACCACTCCTTGCACACCAGCTCAGCAGCACACAATGATTTGGCATCCAGGTATGACAGAATGTTCTCAGCAATGTGATCCAATCCCCGAGCTGGGGGAGGGAAAAAAAAAAGATTATTTGCTGGGGAGACATGGAGTTTAAACCAACTCCTCTTGCTAGCACAAAGATATCCTCTCTTTCCATCTCCTATTCTGCATGCAGAGCTGGACCAAATGCACAGAAGAGCATTTGTGGTTAAGTTCAGGAGTGAACAGCATTCTCCAACTTCCTTTGGATATAACACAAGAAGTCATTAAAAATAATAAAGAATCCAAGAAGTCATTCCAATCTATTTCGATGGGTTTTAGCACTAGGGGGATATTCTATGGATGGCATTTCCAACTCAGCGACGCAGCCCCCAAAATCTCTCTATATTAGGACCATTTCTCATCTCACTGCTACAGCTGTTCTCATGTTCCAACGGCTCAAAAGCTGTTTTTGCTAAAGCAGTAGCTTTTAAACGTAATGAAGAAAAAAATATATATTCCCAATGTGTGCCCTGAAGGGTAGTGGTACCTTTAGACATGGGGGAGGGAAAGATATGCAGATGTACAGGGAAGTCGAGAGGGAAGGAGAGGCTGTGTAAGAAGAAAGTGAATCAGGTTTGCTAGTTCCATTTTATTTTAGTGGGTGGAGGAAAAATATGCACACCAAAATGGTATAATTTGCAAATATTTTCCAGCATGAATACCAGGACTGGCTTTGTTTCAACATGGCTGGAGTGAAATGTAAAACAATTGCCTGGTTAGCACCAAGCAGCCCAATGTAACGTCTGTGTAGCTGGGGGCCAGGGAAAGTTATGCTATGTTTCTTAACTGGATGGATGTATTCAGTAAAATGTGCCCTTACCCACACAAATTTAATCACCAGCAAGACTTCAGGAAAATAAGATGCCTTTTAAATGATATGCTGCATAAATACAACTTCTCTTGCAAGCTGTTTAATTCACAAGTGAGACATGCCATCAAGAGATTATCTCACTTCACAGGTCAAATTTCAGAGACCCTATCATCCCTCAGGCATAACATTCAGACCAACCAAATAGGAAGCATGGCAGATCGGTATTACATGCATCTTCCCTCTGGTTCACATTTGGGACAGTTAAATACATCTCTTCTTGTTTTTAAAACAACAGTCTCAAAGACCAGGTCCTGCTTGTGACAGAGAAAAAAAAAAAAAAAAAAAAAAAAAAAAAAAGCAGCAAGTGCATTTTTACAGTCACATGTCCGTACTTCCGCAAGCCCAGATTGGGTGTAATCAGCTGATTCTGATTAGAGTTCATGAGACAAAAAAGGCCCAACCTTAGTTTTCATTAACAGAAGATCTCAAAATTATCTCCCAGTGCGTGAAAGCGAGAAAATTCAGCATGCCTCCTCTCACTCCTTTCAAACATCCTAAATTTATAATACACTTTGGGTGAGACATTCTGCCCAGCGCTTTATGCTTCCATTTACACATAGAAAAAGCACGTGAATGATACCATGCACAACCAGAGAGTGCAGAAAGAGGTCTGACATTTCTTATCTTTATAGATGCAAAATTAGATGTCACCCTGTAAAATAAAAGCATCAGCAGCCTTTATTATGTATTTAATCTGAAAAGATATATACAGCCACTATATAAAATTCTTTTTAAAAAAATGAAAAAAAAGAGTGTTTGTAAATTTAGATTGACTCTACAGCAATTTGAGAAAAGAGAGCGACAACGTTTTAGTGGATGTGAACTGGAATTTGCAGGTATTCCACAACTTGGTAGGGCAGATATAGACATTGTGTCCCCTTGCTTCCCTACCCTAACACTTGCAGCCCTGAACTCTCTCCAGTGGGTAAAAATGGCGTATTTTCTTCCCCAGTCTGTTGCTTCCAATGAGCCCACAGGCATTTACAGACCCACTTGGCCATTTACAAATACTTGTCTGTGTAGTATCCATACTGGTGGCTTTATGTCAGCAGCATCACAGCAAGAAATTATTTTATACAGAGAACATTCGGTGGCTTTAGGAAGCAGGGCTACACTGCATAAACTGGGTACAGTAATCTTCACCCACAAGTCTGCCTCTGATGCACCTGCCCTTTCTGGACCATCAGTAGTAACACTTTAGATCTTGCTGCAATGAGGTGGTGTAACTGCTTCCATGGCTGTAAGTCATCCTTTGCCATTGATCCTAGACCCTTCGCAAAGAATGTTTTGGCCTCTCCTCCTCACATTTATGATAAGTGAATGGGCAGAGTTATTTTGGCCTGGCTGCAAACTCAATTTTATTATTTTGTTTCTTAGGAACAGCAAACCTCACTGAAACATATATCAAGAAAGCACTGCTTCCTTAAAAAAGAGAAATCTCTACTCACAAAAGTTTCTACTAAATCGATGTGAAACACGATTAGCCCTTCAGCCCTCCATACCAACAAGAATGTTTCAGTTATTTCACACATGAAACCCTTATAAAAATGACTTTCCTCATAAAAAATGTTAAACAGCTTGGAAATGCTAAGCAGAGACCTTATTTTTCAGAAACAGAACAAAGTTTAAGTACCCAGTTAAGCTGTATTTTTCAAACAACCTTAATTCTGTTCAAAGTACTGGGAAAATAATCTGAGCCAATTTTACACTATATTAGTAAAATCTGCTCATGATCTAAATCTACCTTTAATTCTGGTCATTCTTTGGGACAGTGCTAGGAGGATAGAGATAAGATGCCTCATGATTCTGAAGTAACAGTTTTATTTACTCAAGGGGGAGAGCAGGAGAGAGAATGAAGGAGTAAAAATGAAACCAGAATACTGAACACTTGAGAATTTCAGAAAGCTAAACAATACTTAAAGAATTTAGGTATTTTATTATGTGACTTAATTTAAAATTTTAGGTTCATCACCCTTTCCTAGGAAGTTTCTTACCTTCCACTTTCCCATTCCCCTCATTAGAAACTTGCCTATACTCAGGACAGCCTGCACAGCCTGCGGAGTCTGTGCCAGTGCATCGCCTTGCCATTAATTTTCTCCCTCAGAGCCATATTCACTAGGACATCAGCACTTTTCAAATATGCAAATGGATGCACATACATTATTTAAGCACACAGTTCCTATAACTATTCAAATCCTCACATCCTAGCTGCTTGATTCCTATCTGTTCTGCAGTCTGAGATAGTAAAATTAACTGCTTCCTGGGTAACTGTGAAAAGACCACTAACAAATACAATATGGTTAGGAAATTTTGAATGCCTCTGAAAATATTTCTAGTATTTGCCCAAAATTTTCAGAAAAAGGCCTGTAGGATGAAATTAAGCAAGTGCAAATGAGATGAGTTGGCTTGCTTTGATGGAGTGTTGTGGAGAAAGACCTGGGAAAATTGTGTATGTAACTATATGTATACTTCTACTTTAAAAGTGGGGAAGCCAATGCCCTTTCAAAACATTTTTCTGAAAGAGAACAGCTCCTCAAGTTATAATGCTGCTCTAAGTACACAAGATTATTGCCACTGGAGTACTAAAAACTAACATAAGCAGGTACTTAGCATAACTAAGATTTTTTTTTTCTTAATGCTACAACAGCCATTTGATTACTGGGCACAATGAGCTTAAAAATCCAGTGAGTCTATGTATTTAACTTCACAGCAAATCTCCTACAGTGCCTTTATGCTTTGTACAATTCAGTGTTAAACATGTTTTTTTCTGTCTTTTAAAACCCTAGAACTTACATTTCACATTGAGAAATCCCATCTGAAGAATGATCAAAGGACTGGATGGAACAAATTGTGTTCAGCAATTCTCCAAAGGTATGCACAGAACAAGCTCTTGGCAAGAAACTCCTCCCTTTAACTAGCTATTTACAGATAAAATCTGTAGTAATTCTTGCTCAGGTCCATCTCAAACCAAGGACCTATGCCATGAGAATACTAATCTATAAACTGTCTACCTATCTATCTGCAAAGGTATGATCTAATGATCTGAAAAAAAGACCAAAGAGCCAGGAATTTCTGTCTGGTTCTGAAACTCTATTGCTGTACGTATTTTATCTCCCGCCGCTTCAGTTTTCCCATCTATAACACAGGGCCAATACAAAACTACACACACCCTACTTTATGTATGCATTCTGTGATATACACACAATGCCACATCTGAGAACAGCTGGGATAATATTCTCAATGGAAAGCACTACAGAGGTGTGAAAACCAGAACATTTCCATCCTTTGATCTTAGGTACTCCCATTCCCTATTAACAATAAATACATAGTCATAGTGGTGGCTTCAGGAACGTATTTTACTAGGAAAGAGAGACAAAAAAAAACTAACTAAGAAAAGGGAAAATCTCAGCTGAGCAACCAAAAAGAGTAGTAGTTTTAATTTTAAACATTTCCGTTATTCATGCATAATTGTGGGCAACTACCTGCCCTGTGGCTTGCAATGGCTGTCCTTATAATACATATATGATCTATCATTTACTCCTAAGCCAAACCATGGTGGTATTAGATCATGCCTTGAGAGACGGTAGGAATTCCAAATAAAATATTACTACATTTCATACTGGTATAGAGCTTTTCGTTGAAAAGGTATCATCTATTTTGCAAACTGACCCTAGAAGAGACCTCTCCATCAGGGTAGGCCAGAGTGGATTATTTTCCTGAAAGACAAAGATGGAGAAGCAAGTTCCCTCTGCCTGCAGAAATACCTGGCAGTGCAGTGATGAAGTCCCGCTGTAACATGGGTTTGAGGTATGAGTTTATATGTCCATGCTGGTAGTGACACATCTGGGAGATGAGGTGCTCCACAAACTCCACCTGGTCAGACTCCGACCACTGTTCAAAATACTTGACGCAGAGTTCCTTCTCCTTCTCATAGCTTGCAGACAGTTTTCTCTGCTTGGGCACAATCATACTGGAAGTGCCATTGGCAAGTTTTGTCTGTAAACAGGAAGGAGAGAAACAACCCAAATCACACATATGATAAGAAGCTCAAGCGGTTTTATCATTTTTTAGGGGGAAGAAAATAGAAGGAAAAAAGCGCTCTGTTACATAAAGTTGGCTGAGACCATGTATCCCACTTGGTGCTGTCAGTCGGAGTGCAGCCACCACAAGCTGTAACCGCTGCAGGACAATGCACTGGCTCATGCCAGAGCTGTACACAAGATGGGAAACCCTGAGTGGCAATTTAACTTAAACACTTATTTTATTTACACTGTGTAGACAGTAAAATGCATCTGGATCCCTAATCTACAGTTACCAGTTACTCCAATGCACCAACAGAAATCTGCCTTTCCGTTCTGTTGTTGGTTTTGTGTTTTTTGTTTTTTTTTTTCCTAAAGAATGGACTGCTGCTAAAATTCATAAGGAACACAGGAAATGGATGAGGAGAAAAAACTGCTAGTACCTCTTTTGAGTATAAAATTATACCTTGAGAGCAAAGCCATCTGAAACACACCCTGATATTTGGTACATACTTCTTTTCATAGAATAAAAGATTTTCAACTTTCTGAGCACTGTTAATAACATGTCGGGAGGACTAAGCTCAAAGAATAGTTTCAGCAACAAAACAAAACACTGACATTTCAATTTACTACTTGATAGCAAGATATAATTTCTGCTTTCTAAATGATCTAACTGTAAGAAAAGTGCACATTCTGCATTGCAAGAATATTCTTTGTCCAAGATTAACTGCTGCTGGGGAATTATTTTTTTACCATACTGGTTAAATAGTTTGTATGAAATGCTGAAAACATGTGATTTTCTCTCTTTCATTGCACAGCCAGACAGCATTATAATAACAGTCAATATTATTACATTAGTTTTAGAGGTCCTCTATTAATTATCAAATAATTAAAACCAAATTAAAGATATCAGAATATATAAAACATTGATATAGGGATGCCATATTTCTGTTTTATGATTATAATTCCAGGCATCAACCTCACCAGGAGATTTTATTAACTTTAAAGGAAAAAACAAGTATCTAAATGTCTCTTCAAAGATATCTAATGATCTAAAAGAAATGCATGGATTAAATGATTTTACAGGGAAAAAAAAAAAAAAACCACAAAAAAAACCCACCAAAACCCACAAAACAACAAAAAAGCCTTTTTTCAACATGTGCCAAAGTAGTGGGTTATTTAGACCACAAAATCTAGTTACCAAATCTGTGTTTGGAGTGCAAGAATTTCTCATTTCTCAGGAGTAAATAATTCCTGTACTTCAGTATCCCCCCAGCCCTGACAGCAATCCTGACTTTGGAACACCAAAACCCTCATAATTTGAAAATCTACTCAACTAATCACCATGTATATTTTATTTTCTACAGAAAATCCACCTAAATACTCTTCTCAGCAGAGCTGGACAGACTTTTCCTATGGTAGAAAAAGAAAGTAATTAGCTGTCATTTCTAACAAGCATTCTATTTCTGAATTATGGTTAATAATTAAATTAAGTTTCTTTGAGAACACAGAGCATGGAGATCACACCAATGATCAGTGCTCAATTCTGTAGCTCAGTGTTTTCAACTTTACTTCTATCCCCACTCCTCCCTGTGAATTTCTCTGTGTGTTCAGTAAGATCATGCAAAACAAGGGCTATGACTGAGCTGCACTTTCATTTAGTCAGCAAATGGACAGCACTGACTGCAAGCAAGTCATAGAGCCAGTACTGGACTGCAGGAAAGAAACCCTCTTGGGCAAAGTTATTACATAGAGAAATGTCTACAGGGACTGGGGGCATGAAGTTCTAGGTGTGAAGGGCTGGACTTTTCCTATAAAAGTCTAAAGTAGGCAACAGCCTGGCAAAAAAAATTATTACCACTGAACATCGGTCTTAAGGGATTCTGGTAATTTTTGCTGCAGTTAAGCTGCCTGCAAAACAGACACCCCTGTAAAAATGCTGGATTAAGAGAGTGGAGAGATGTTGTATTCTACAAGCTTGATCTCATTTCATTTCTCATTTTGTTTGCTTTGCATCTGACAACAGGCTGTCTTTACAAAGCATTTTTTAAAAAACTATACCTCTGCCTTTTAATTTGAGAGACTCTGAAGTCTGACTAATATGCTGAACTGGAGAGGAATAGACAACTGATGCACAAAGACCACAAAAGGGGCAACTCCTTTCACAGGGTGGCACCACGTTCTGGCCTTTCCTTGCCTCCTGAGCACCCTTCTCCCAGCAGAATTCAGCTCCCCAATTACCTCTAAAACATCAGTTTGGGGTATCAAACAGAAGTTGCAACATCTGCAAAAACAAGTAATGGCTTATGTGTGTACAAACAGATGGCTTAGATGGGACAAAACAACCATTCTGCCTGGATCCCAAGTGAATACAGGCCTCTTGGGTGGGAATAATGAGTAAATTAAAGAGTCCATTGACCAACACTTGTAACAGCTTTGGAAGTCGAACTCCAGGTTTATATAGTGGGTCTGCTAAGAAAATCACTGTAGATGTTACAATGTTTTGCCCAAATTAGTGGAGAAGGGAACACTACATTTTTCAGGTTCATCCACATATTTAGCTACATTCTGACAATGCCAACTTGAGACCTGGTTTTCACCCCTGCCTGCTTTGGTTTCCCATGAAAAGGAGTGAGGACAAGTCTAGAGATAGCCATGGTGTGCCCAGCATGTCTTGTGGTTTATGTAAGCAGGGGACCAGGAGGATAGGGGACCATGAACACACCAGTTCTGCAGAGTAGACACAGACAGGGCTCCCAAATCACTTGATTGCAATACATGCTCACGTGCCTCCCCCAGACTGCCTGTAGTCACATTTTGGAACAAAATTTCAGAATTTCAATTTCAAGATTCTTGAGAATCTACTGGGTGTTCATTGAAAAAGGCCTGTTATTAAAAAAGCAACAACAAACCAAGCATTATTAAAGCACTGGGGGAAGAGGGTGGTTATTATCAGTGAGAGAATCAATTTAGCTTCCTGGGAAACCCCGATGACTCAAGCATTCTGATCAACTGCCTCAAGTTCATGACAAACTACCTCAGAACAATATCAGCAACTGTTTCCTGGAGCATGCAACTGTCTACAGCCTTCTCCCTCTCCTCATACAATAACCAGGCCTCACCTGAAAAAGACAGAACTGTCCCACATGCCATCCATACTGCTAGGGTAAATATCCATCCAAATGAACTGTATTATGATCATGCTTTTTATAAGCTTCACTTTCAAAAGTGCCAAAGAAGAATAAGCCCTAGTAGTCCATTACCTGGGAGGAAGTTTAACAGAGCAAACTACTATTATAACTTGGAACAGAAAAAGCTTTTCTGACTCCCTTTTCACAAACCCTTGTAAGTGAGGGCTGAGAGGTGCCGCAGCTGACTCTAAGCACAACTACTCATTTGTAGGAATATAAAGGTGTCCTCCTACAACAGTGTGCCTGAGCTAGTAAGCTGTGCCAGGAAACCCAGGGGATTGAGCGCCTCAGGTTGGTACTAGCTCAGGGATCTACATACTATGCTCCACTGCAGCCCATAATTACAAGACCATTTCTCCAAATGGCTACATTTAACACAAGGCACATTTGTACGCCCAGTGAAGTAGAAGAGGACTAATATATGAAAGGACTTTAAACTAAATAACGGCTTGCAACTATAGGAAGGTGCAATATTTTAACACAGATAAATAAAGCCTGGATAAATCTACTGCTCTGCATATAAAACAAAACAGCCATGGCATATCACAGCTGTAACCCATATACGACAACCAAGGTTAATTTTGGTTTTGTTCAGTACAGGGGACCAAGGAGCCTCTAAAGCACAGAAAAAACCACAAGTACAGTTCTCTGATTCTAGTATACATATAGTGTTTCCCCACTCATGAGTGGTCACAACTTCCATATATTTAAAAAAAAACCCCATGATCTCTAATCATTGCATAAGACTTTGTTAAGACACTTTCTACAGGGTGGATGAATTAAGACTGTATCTTACTTAATTTAAGAAGAGATATCTTAAAGTCAAAGAAAAAGAGAAGCTGCTTCCTAGAATATCGAGAATGGTTTAAATGATCCCAGCAAGGTTTGGGACCTTCTGAACCTGCAAGACATCTTCATGTTGGGAACTCTGAAAAGACTGAGGCCTTAGACCGCTACTGCAAATTTCTCAGAGTTTCTCTCCTAACAAAAGGCAGGGACTTCCCTTTGACATGCCAGTTCCAACAGGTCATAGCTGGGCTTCTCCCCTCCTTCCCTGAGTCCCTGGGACTATAGGCTCTGACAGAGAGAGATGTCTTCTACTGTGTATCTGCAACCACAGCATTTCACCTCCAACTGCTTGCATTGCCAGTGACTGATCTAGACAGAGCCACCTTAACAGGAATTTTGGATGGATCTTAGTGAAGGGGAGGAAAAAAGAGGACATAATGTTTAATTATAAGAAATGATTGAAATAGGCACAGACATACCCCGGGTGCCTCTGCACTGCAGCAAGCTCTAAACTTGTTATCGTTAATGGTTTAAATTTCACTGTGCTAATCATTTCAGGACACAAGCCTTTCTTGATAATCTAATGAATTATTCCAACATCCTTCAGCAAAAAAAATCCTCCATGACAGCACTAATTACAAGACGTTTTCCCAGTGCTTATGTAAAATATGACAGAGCAGCAGCTTAGGGAATTGCAGAAAACTGCTTCTAATTTCCACTGAGAAACTGACAAACACCTCTCTTTCATCTCTCCCAGCTCTCAAGTAAGATTTAACTTTCTCATTTAGTTAATTACCGAGTGAGGATCATCATTTTCCCGGATCGGAGCGGCACAGAGCCTTTATCGTGTTAACTTGTGAACTTGATCGATGGCTGCTGCTAAAACTTAATAACTTCACCCCCTGGCAAATTGTAAGATAAATATAATAGGAGAAACTCTGACAGTAAAAACCTGCCAGAAATGAGCACTGTGTTTATGTTTCTTTGCAGGCAGCAA